AGAGAGAGAGAGAGAGAGAGAGAGAGAGAGAGAGAGAGAGAGGACTGGCATATCTTCCTCCAAATGTCGAAAAGATGCCATCGGCCTTTTTTGGGGCAGCGGTAATTTGCCAAATACCCCCATAAGTTGAGATGTATTTCAAAATGTCCCTGAAAGATCTCTGTACAGTGGAATGACCTTTCGGGCTGACATCTTTGCGTTATGCCCCTGTCAGCCATGTATGCAAACTCGCAATGTCAGCCTCCCCGTTTGGGCCTTGGCCTTTTGCAATTGCACCTACAAAAAGTTGGCAACTACTGGGGCATTTTGCAAAGTTGGACGGTGTCCGATAGGGGTATATTGCAAAAATGGGGTCCAACCGATGTCCAGGCTGTTTCGCGAAATGTTTTTATCATCGTCCTTCGCTACAGCGTGGCTGCGGCAGGTCCACTTGTTAAAATAAAAAATAATATTAAAAACACCCTCAAATTCTGTTTCTTTTTTTCATGCTTTTAATTGCTAGAAATGGAGTCGTCCGGGACCCCCATGACTGTCCGGCCAGGACGTCCTGCCATCGGACAACTGGTAACATAGCTTTTCTTTTCTAAAGAACATTGATTCGATGGCAATCTCCTGATGCTGTCTTCCCTCGAACACGACCCACCCTAATCAAATATGTATACAAGCTAACTTTCCAGTATCATACAGTCATGACGAGGGTGTGCTGTATTCTGGAATAAGATGGATGCTGCCTTCCAATTAAAAAAAAAGAAATCCATCGTTCTCTCAGCAGAGTTTCAAGCTGGCAGGTACAATCCATCCTTTTCCCGAATAGAACACACCCTTATCGACAGTCCCCACCATTTGACAGGCATCTGTGACATCGGCTTTCTCCATATGCCTCTCCACACAAGACGCATGGACAGCGAACCTTGGTGAAAACTCTTTTCCCGATGGAGGCTGCAACAAACTCTCACATCAGTCTCATCCCGTTTCAAAAGGCCTTCCCTGACCGGACCTAGCAGCCACAAGGCGTGGTTGTTGCAGCCTCCAACAGGGCTCAAGTCCTTCTCGTCCCCATTGCTTCCCTATTGCTGTCTTAGGCTAAATTTGCTTTCCCACTTCCCCCATCAGTCTCAACCAATTCCAAAAAAAAAAAAAAAAAAAAAAAGCTGAGTGAGGCTGCCGCCCAGCCGGGCTGGGCCCGGCCAGTTGGGCCCGGGGGGACCGCCCAGGTAAACCGGGTGGGCCAAAAAAACACCCAGAAATACATATATATATATTTTTTGAAACCGGGGTCGTTCTGCACTCGGTGAGAGGACCCCGAATCCGCAATGAAATTT